AATCTGGCCTTGAACACCTCCAGGGACGGGGCATCCACAACCTCTCTGGGCAGCCTGTCCCAGCACCTCATCACTCTCTGTGAAGAACATCCCCCTGACATCCAACCTAGATCTTCCCTCCCTCAACTTAAAACCATTTCCCCTTGTCCTGTAGTTATCAACCCTTTCAAAGAGCTGATTCCCCTCCTGTTTGTAGGCTCCCTTTAGGTACTGAAAGGCTGCAATGAGGTCACCCCACAGCCTTCTTTTCTCCAGGCTGAACAAGCCCAGCTCCCTCAGAATGTCTTCACAGGGGAGGTGCTCCAGTCCCCTGATCATCTTCGTGGCTCTCCTCTGGACCCTCTCCAACAGCTCCCTGTCTTTTTTGTACTGGGGGCTCCAGACCCGGACGCAGTATTCCAGATGGGGGTCTCACAAGAGCAGAGTAGAGGGGAACAATCACCTCCCTGCCCCTGCTTGCCACCCCATCAAAGATGGAGCCCAGGATACCATTTGCTTTCCGAGCTGCAAGGGCACACTGCTGGCTCAATTAAGCTTTTCATCTACCAAGACCCCCAGGTCCTTCTCTGCAGGGCTGCTCTCAAGGACCGCTCCTTCCAGTCCCTCGCCCTCACCCCACAGGCACGTAAAGAGCAGCAGGTTGGACAAAGCAGACGGGGAGCCGTTCGCTCCCTGGGCCGACGTGCCGCCCTCCGCCCGCACTCACTCCATGGAGACGCGGAACTGCACGGTGTCCTCAGGCTGCGGCACGCCGGGCCGCACCGCCAACATGAAGAAGTTGGGGCGGAAAATTCGCAACTGGGGGCCGCCCAGCTGGAACAAGGGGTACCTGAGGGGAGAAGAAGGCCCGATAAGCAACCGAGCGGCATTACCACACCGCTAACCCCATCCCCGCACCGCCCAGCCTGCTCACACGGCCTTCTTGCCGCCCGCCGCCATGGCCGCCGCCCGGCCCGGAAGTGCTGCTACCACAGAGCGGCGTACCGGGGGGAGAACGCCGCCGCTGGCGCCCCCTGCTGGCGCGGAGGAGCGGTGACAGGGTGGGAGTCGGCGCTTCTGCGTTGGCACTCCTCTCAAGGCTGCCCTCTACAGCCACAGCGGCGCTCATTCACAAGCCCGGCCCGTGCACGGTGTGCAGTTGGCGGTTGGAGGGCAGCTCTTACCGTAGAATCGTTAAGGTTAGAAAAGACCACTGAGATCACCTAGTCCGACCATCCCCCCTACACCCACTGACCGCATCCCTCAGTGCCGCATCTCCACGGCTCTCAGACAGCTCCAGGGACAGCGACTCCACCACCTCCCTGGGCAGCCTGTTCTGATGCCCCGCCGTTCCTTCTGAGAAGAGATTTTGTCTAGTGCTCAACCTGAAATGTCACTTCTCACTTATGGGATGGCCATAACAGGGTCATTTTTACTAGCCCTACCACCACAGCAAGGCTTTCTAAAACCTACTGGGTGTCTGTCCCGCTGTCTTGATGGCAGCTGTGATTTTCTTTTCCTCAGTGGTCACTGCAGCATGTATGCGAGCCAGAGAACATAAGCTGGCACTAAAAGTTTAGTAGGAAACCAGGTGGGAAACCTCTAGTAGGCTTCCTTCCAATGAAGTGCCTCCAAGGCTGGTGAGGAGAGCAGCTCTACACAGCGGCTCAAAACCCACATTTTTTAGCAGCTGTTCTGTGTCTCCTCATTGGATTTCAATACTATATGTTGATTAACTGCCTCAATAAACATTTCAGCGTAATATTTGAGTTAAGAGTGCTCTGTTGCTGTGCTGCGACATCTGCATTTAAGAAATGCCATGTGCTGAAAGCTACTACTTCTGTGGATTCATTTCCCCACACACAAGTCTTTGATTCCTTTCATCACTCACATTTTTAAGTCTGCTTCAACTGCATTTGGATTCCAGACAGGCATAAAGATTATAAGCTCCCTCAGAACAGAGCTGGGTTTTCTTATCTGCCTACATAGAGGCTGTAAATCTGGCCCTGAGTCCTGGTTCTTGGTTGATGATATTGAACCTCATTCCCATTTGCAGAGCCAGGTCAAATATTACTAGATAAGCATTTGGTTTAACCCTTAGTTTCCATTAAGTAAAATACAAGACATCACTCAACTGTTGTTGAAGTAGGTACTGGTTGCGCTTTATTTACAAAATCCAGAGATTTGTACACAGCAATCTACAGGACAGCATAGGGCTGGTGTCAGGAGGATAAAGGACATGCTCAGCAGGAATTGAAGGTGCCAGCAAGGAGTCTCCTCAGTTCCAAAGGGAACCTGCTTCCTTTGTCTGAGGAAGCCACCAGACCCCTCCAGGAAGAAGAAAAGCAGCAGCAATAGCCAACCCAGGCTGATGTTGCAATTTTTGTTATCGCTGAGGCACGGGAACACAAGTGGTTTGTGAATGGAGAAGGAGACCAGCAGGGTTTCGGCACATCACTAAGGGCCATTCTGCCTGATTCTTTATTTCCAGCGCCCACCAACCTTGCCTTTGGCTCCTGCCTTCTTGCTGCTGCAATGCAAAAGGCAAGAAAAACATGTCAGTTTGAAGGAAGCAGTAGGGCACTCTGTGACCACTACTCATTTCTAACTCTCAGATTAGCATCGAGCTGCTTTTGCTTTTTACATGCTGGGCACACCCACTATAGAGCACATCCTGAGAAAAACATTGTGGATGTTGTGGAAAGATTTTCTACTTCTGAGTCTTAGCGAAAGGCCAGGATGTGCATTCCTGGAAGAGGTGGACCCTTCCAGATTTCTGCATTAACAGGACAGAAGTCCAAGCAATCTCAGAACTAAGCAACAAGACTATTCTGCCACACATTTGAAGTCTCCTGAATTCAGATCTGCTTTGATCTGGATTTGAATGTGCTTCTAAAGAAAATTTTCTTCTCATCAGGGAGCTCTTGTCAAGTTTCCCTGTCCTAGCTATCTGGTAACTAAGATAACAGGCTGAACAGTAAGTTAAATACAACTAGAACTGTTTCACTCTAGCAGAAACAAAGTAACTTCTTTCTTAGAGCAATTCAAAGTTTTTAGACCTCCCAATATTCCAATCTTGCTCATATTGTACGTGGGAGCAGTCCAGCTACAGTCCCCACACAAAGCAAACATTATCTTCTTGCATACAGAAGAACGATCCTGCATGCAAGCCACTTACCTTCTGACTAAGAAACTGGCACACCTGGAGCCACAGAGGGACCAGGTATGAAGTTAGTCGAGTTAGATTCTGTACTGGCTCCCATTGGCAAAATCCTGGCTTTTGGGGCACAGCACACCACCAAACCCATCTCACACACACAGGACAGTGAAGCCTCTTGTTGAACCCAAAGCACATGCAAAATGGAAACGCATCTTTGACATGGAAGAACATGGGGTTGGGGGCAGGCACAACGTAGTAGGGCCTTGCTGTCATTATAGATACCTGCTTTGGAACCACTGATTTCTCCAGAGAGCAGAGAAAGATGAGGCAGACATATCTGGGGAGATTTTTGTAGCGCTGCCCCATCTGTTCAGGAACGCTAGTTGTGTTTATAGAATGATGTAACACAGTGACACAGACAGTACATACAGTGGATACTTTACCTTAAGACCAATTTAGACTTGACCTATTTGAAAAATGACCTTTTGCATGAGAGACAGTTGAAAGTTTTCTGCTTATGTTAAATTCATCTTTGTGTTGCTTTTGCCAACTTTCCCACGGGTTCAAAATCCAGTATAGGAACTCTATAGCTCCTCAAATGAAGGCAGAGTCCTTTTATCTCCACAAACGCCTGTAATGTTTGATGTTATGCCTAACCTTTAGAATGTGCTTAAGGAGACTTAATAAAAATCTGAAGCAAAAGGATCACTTGATCCTCGTATAACTCATCAGCAGACATTGCTTCAGAATGTTACAGTCTGTTTTGGATAGAAATTCAAATACAAAGAAATCTCATGAGCTGTGGACTTCCCAGTGCAACCTTTTCAAATATTGTGCTGAGAATGTATCATATCTTTTGGGGAACAGTTATGCATTATTAGTACAGATTGCAGTGTTCCTCATAAGAGCAGAAAAACCAGATAAACCACTGCACCTTTCTGCAGCTGCACATTCTGTTGTGGTTTATCAGTCTACAGCTCTGTACAGGAAATACCACAGGAAGATCCAGTCTTATGTTTGGCACCTACAGACAACTGAGCTCCCAGTGCTATGTTCGGCTGATAAGGCAAGGTTACGTGGTGAGGTGGGAAGCCAAAGCTGTCATCACAGACCATTTCATCCTGACATTGCTTTGCTTAGGTTAGGAAACACTGAGAAGACCACATCCTATCAGTGTAGAGTTCTCCCTTGCTTCTCTGCAGCTCCTCCTTTATGTCTGTTACTTTTCTACATGCTCTAGCTTCCAGGTTTCTTCTAGCCCTAGTCTCCCACAAGTTCACTGCAAACATGTAAAATAGTTAAAGAGACGCGACTCAGAAAAATCAGATTAAATGGAAGTCATATGAAGAAGGAAAGTGGGAAGAGAGAGTGAAAAGAACTTATAACAGTACAATCCTGTGATGTTAGTTTTGTTACACACCATTCTTAGCAGTCACTTGTTTACCCTTCATAAACAAGATTTATATCTCCTTGTGTATTCAAAGCATCTCAGTCAGGTGTTTGAAAATCCCAGCAATTAGCAGATGGAAATTATGCAGGCATGGCATGAAGAAATGTGATATTTATTTACTAGCTGTTATGTTCACTTCATTTTGCCCTTCATTTTCTCAGCGTGAGGCAGAATGGGAGTTATCCTTCCATCTTTAGCCTCATTTCGTTGCAACAAGAAAATGTTGTTGAGGCTGAAGTGACTACTTTGAACACTTAGAATATATCCCCAGCCAGGAGCTTGGAAGGGGATATGGGTACTTACTGTTTCTGAGCCTGATCAATCCGGTTCCTGAGAGTGACAATCTGAAAACAACACACATCACTAGGGTTTTTAGGGATAAAGAAACTTTGTTCCATCACAGAGAGGAGATTTTTACCTGCTGAAGTGCTGGGAACAGGTGCCTGTGGTAGGGATTAATACTCCCTTTGAGATAAAAGCTTACTCTTTTCTGTAGGAGAAAAATGTTACTCCTTGGCAATAAATCTTTAAGCCAATTTCACATTTCAAGGGAAAGAAGAGCCAGAATTTTATAGTCCTGTCTACTAAAGTCCCTATCCATACAAATTAATCTACCGTGAACTCACAAGTCAAACTGCAGGCAGATGAACTGGAATGAGCGTCACTCTGACCAACTGGAATGCTCTTCCATGGCCTCACCCCCTGTATGAGTTGATCTCACCTTCTCACTCTTTCTCTACTCCTACATGTTAGGAAAAACAGAAGCTTGAAGTCCGTTAGACTTTGGATGGGGACATCAGGAATGGAGTCCATATATTCTACCAGAACACCTTTGTTAGCTGGCAGAGCAGGAGGTGAGAAGCCTGAAAAAGTCACCACCTTCTTAGTCATTCATTTAATTAGAGCTACTCATCTAATTTTAAAGATACTGACGATGGCAATATTAAGGAGAGCTTCAACAACCACAGAGGAAAAGGTTGGAGCGGGGGCTCTGAACATCTTCCCAAGCTCTGTTGGTGACTGCAAGCCATTGGAGCATCTGTCTGACAAGATGTTGTCTAACTTTGTTTTGCCGCAGGTAGACTTAGATTTCAACATGATGCGTGGAAAGCAAACACCTACCTTTTGCAGCATAAGCACATTCTGGCCTGCCTTAGCATCACAATCCTGGCCATAGTCCTGTACTCACTACTGAAATCCCAGGATCTCCAGTGCAGTAGAAAAGCCCCAGAGAATGAGAGTGCGACAGGGAATCCTCTTTTGCCTCCTCACCTTCTTATTTGTAACTAAGTCAAGGTTCTACCTAGCTTTTCTCGTGTAGAAAAATCTTTGGCCAAGACATATATTTTGCTCCTGCTTCTGGTATGCTTCAAAGTGTTCCACTGCCTCTGCATATCCAAGAACCAGTGACCCAGCATTTGAATATTTAAAGCAGTGTTTGATATTCCTCACGTGCAGAACAAAAGTAAGAAGTCATACATTCAGGTTGGCCCAACAACTGATATTTCCTGGGTTGTGTCTTTCCATGGCAAACAGACAAAATAAGAGACTGAAACATTAGCAGGAACAGGACAATACAAGGAAGGAAAGAGCAGCTCATCAGCTGCTTTTGTACTTACTCGTGGAATTTTTAATATCTGCTGCAGCAGTTTAAACTGTTTGTGGTAACTGGCTGCTTTTCACAAGTGTGGAGGAAAACCAGCTCTCTCTTCAGGTTGACCCAAGGACTTAAGACTTACCTTCACTGACAACCTTGCCAGAGTGACTATTACACTCGCTCTCCAAGGAAGCACCAAAGAGCAATGGATTCTAGAGCCAAAGAACAGCTCATTCCTGTGTGTTCCGATTCCTTCCTTTATCTCTCCCTTTCATCCTCACTCATCTCTCCCTCACTGTCTTTGCTGTTTTCACTTACCTTTCTCCTCACTTTCTTTTCCTGCTATATCTTCCCTTAGAATCTCCCAATTCTGACACCTCAGCTGTGCATTTTCCTTCCACTTTGCCATTATTTGCGTTCCATGGCCTTGATTTTCCTTATTGGCTATCCATCCATTTGTCTGCATAGAGACCTCATTACCATAACATGTACAACACACCTGTCACTGCCTTACTCCCTGCTGTTCAACATTCAGATGACCTGCTATCCTTAAGCTAACCCTCTTCAGCATTTTGGATCTGGGTAGCCATTAAGCCACGAGGTGAAGAACCTTCCCACACTCCATACCATTCTTTTCTATGAGGTTCAGGATGCTTCTTGTGCATCCCTAAGCTTCTGCTTCTATCTCAGGTGTGTTGTAGCAATTCCTGCACACAGCTAAAAACAGAGGTTAGGACAGAGAATTATTTGTAGAGATGAACTGAGTGGGCCACATGCTCAGTTCTTCAGCTACAACCCTGTTAGATCCTGAGTCTTCTCTCCTAAATTACTTCATCTCTTTTCGAAGAACGCAAAGGGAGAGAAAAAGGAAGTGAAGGAAGTCACACAAGATGCATTTTTCTTTTTTCTCTCTGCACTTGGAGCCAAGTGCCAGTTTCTGTCCGGCGCCTGACCTCTGACCATGCTTCAGGCTCATGCATTTGGTAGCCTTTGCTGCTGCTGTTACACAGACAAGTTCATTGTACTTACTACTTGGAAAGCTCCTGCAGCCTGCAACGTAGTGTTAAAATCTAAGAGAGATTGAGATAATTACATTGGTGTTGCTCATTCCCTGTCAATGTGTGTCTGTGTAATTGGGAGTTAAAAGTAGAGCAAGACAGAGTGAACCAGTGGATTTCTCAGCCACTGAAACCTGGTGTAGGTAACATGTTGTGAAGGAAACCTATCCACTTTATGTTACCATTTGACAACTCGGTCAGATGCTCCTGTCTGGAGAAAGGTTTCAGTAACTTCAGAGAACTCAGTCCACAGGAACTCTGTCTGGGACAGGTATAAAGCTTAAAACATTCAAGTGTGAAATCAAAGACACTTAAAAACATTACTTTGTGATGGAGATGAGTGAATTGAGACTCTGTTTATTTTGTACCACAGTTACCTAGAAGATAAACAAGAATGAACGAAGTGTGCTTGAGTAGGTGCATTTTTCCATTGACATTGGCTTTCCAAGAGGGCACTGAAAACCTTGAGGATAATCTATGAAATTTCAGCCTGAAATGTGAAATCCAGTCCAAGTACATCAGGAGGACTATAGTCCCAGGTGCATTTCTACTTAAATATTCCAAAAAGTCACTAAAGAATCAAATGATTTTGGCATCGTACAGCTTTTGCCAGATGATTCTTGGAGATTTTAACATTTTGGAGCTGGTATCATTTAAAAAAATGGCTTTTCCACTCACCTCATATTTTTTCCTCTTTATTTGCTCAGTGAAATCATACTTTTCAGTCTGCAGCTGGTACAACCAGTCCCACAGTTCCTTAGCCTTGTCCCTGTGTGTTTATAGAGAAAGGGCAAGAGGAGAAACACATTGCATCATGTATTTTCTACAGTTTTCACATCACTATTAGTGAGGTATTTTACATTTTGTTCAGTTCCATTCATGCGTTATCCTGCCAACTTCTTCTGGCCTCTGAAAGCTACTTAACTCTGAAAGTTAGCCTAGGTCACACTTCCTCAGATGAGAACCTTTTAGCCTTCTACTTTTGCATGTACCCATCACTAATATACTTCTGCCAGATTTAATTTTCCCCTTAACCTGTAAGGATAAAGGAGAGTCCAGGGGAATTAGATGAGAAGGAGGAATGTCCGAATGCCTCAGAGATGAGCAGAGCAGCTGCCATTGTGCAATCTCATCTGCATCAGGGCTGAAGTTAAACTCAGCTCCCAAGCCTCCAGCCTCAGTTGTATTCTTACTCGTAACTTAGTAGCACTAACTACCCTGGGAACACTGTGATAGTAGAAATCAATCTGTGAGTTTGTTTATCTTACTTCAGAGCTGGGTTTAAAGTTTGTGCCTAGTCCACTGGCTGACATTCTAATTAGGACAGGCTGACAGGCCATTTCAATAATGTCTCATGTCTCATTTCCCCCTCTGTTCTTCAGACCAAGGAAAAGCAGAACTTGATATTGTCCCTTGAAGAATTTCAAGGAAAGCCTTCTCCTGTCCCTCACTCTTTTGCTAGAGAAGACCCCAGCATAGCAAGTCCAAATTTCAATGGATTACATTACAGTAAGTGAGGTTAAGCATGTTACCTCAGCTTGTCTTCATTAAGATGGTCAATGTTCAAAGGCTTGCGCCTCTCTGCCAGGACCTTCTTCTTTGTCTCTCTAGCTGTTTGCTTCTTCCCTCTCTTCTGATCAGCCTATTTTCAGAACATCAACTCATGTCAGACTGCAGAAACGCAGGCTGAATGAAATAAGTTCATTAACAGAGCATGTAAGACAAGTTGCTAGGGATCCATAAGAAGGGAAGTCAATTTTTTTTCTCAACTTATGATACAGACTCTTTCTTGTCAACCCAGTAGTTTAACACTTGATCCATGCATTTACCTTTGCCAGATAGCTGCTGTATGAGGCACCCATAGACGACAGAGCCTTCTTCTTCTTGAGATCATCCTCAGCTTTTCTCTTAGCATCTTCTTCCTCTCTCCGTGCCTTTTCCTCCTGCAGAGTGCAAGACAGAGAAGCAAGTTACTTTAGGGGAGATGCTCAGCTTCTCTAGCAACCTGTATCACTACAGGGAGTGTGATCAGGTAAAATACGTGTAAATAGTGGCAACTCTCATGTCCATACACATTAAGTACTGGCAACTCTCATGTCCTGCCCTTGCTTTTAGAGGATGGTCATCCTTTATCTGGACTGAGAGAGACAGAACCTGTAGTTTCTTTGCATCTCGAGAAATCTGCTCCACCTAGATGCTGAAACAAAAACAGACATGAGGATGCTTACCGCAAGCCGTGCTTGACGCTCCTTCTCCTTCTCAGCCCGAATTCTCTGTTGCTCTGCTCTTTCAGCTCTGCGCTTCTCCTGCAAGAAGCAGTGACAAAGGCTTGAACTCAGCCGTGTGGCTTCATCTGCCTCTCGCAGTCCCCTCCACCAATGCTTTGGTACACATTGAGCCATTTGCTCCCTTGCCAGGATGTGCAGGATGGGGCTGACGTGCAAATACCAGGTGTAAAATGGAGATGAGTGAGAAAACAAGCAATCTGGGGGTGGCACGAATCATTTCTATGCATGGCAACACTACCAAAGTAACAAAATTAACGGTTTAAATTCTCATCTTTATATCTCATCTAGCACCACTGATGAGCAGTACAAGGACTCACAATTCTCTCCTTAAGGGCAACCAGCTCTTCTTCTTCCTTACGCCTGGCCTCGAAGTGGCTGTCAATCAAGGCCTGCAGTTCAATCAGGTCTTTGTTCTGCCTCTTCTTTTGGATGTCCTAGAAGAGCAGTGAAAATCTTTCAGTAAGCCCGTAGTGCACTAGGTACACAGCCTGGAAACTCCCAGCATTCTGCCAACATACACGCAAACAAAAGCAGAAAGTGTTGCAGTTATCTATGGGCTGGATTCAAGAGGTGTTGGTGCAGGTCAGAGACATTCAGAGACTCACCCAGGTGGTGGTCAGAAGTCCAGAAGGGAACAGAATCCACAACTTCTATTTCACTGCATAGAGTTTTATCCTTAGCTTGGCTTAGCATCCTCCTATGTACAAAGTTCAGCCAAAGGACTGAGGTGTGAACCTTACCTAGAAAATGCCCCTGCATTTTTGAGTAAGGCAGACATTTCTGCAGGGATTTTCAACACCAGAAGTTTTTCAATTTCATGTCAGCTTTCTAGGAAAGTATTTGGATCTCTGTTGTTAATCTTTTGCTGTCATTTCAAGTGGAGTTTCTCAGCAACAGCTGAGCACAGACCTGCTTTATTTCAAACTTCTCAGTAACTTTTGGATCATTTATAGCAATGGGACAGGGGATCTTAGAGATCCTAAGACTCTTGCCTTGGCCATATTAGCCACAAATGTATCCAGAGGCCTTCAAAGAGGAAAGGGTACCCTTTAATGGAAAACACCAGCAAGCATTCATTCTGTCCTGGACAGTATCTTCAGCTATATTCAATACAGGTGGAGTTCCGTGGGTTTGCACATACATATAGCTCAGGTACAGACAAGCAAACACATACATCCTCAGGAATACTCACATCAAAATCTACTTTCTCACCCTCCGGTATTTTAGGAGCAGTTAGCCTGCAGAGAGACAAAATCAAAAAGGAAAGGGAAGAGAAGGGAAGAAATAGGAAAAGGAAAAATAGAAGGGCAAAAAGAAAACAGAAAGGGGAAATAAGAGGGAAAAAAAAAAAAGTGAGAAAAGACAGAAGAGAGAAAAGAGAGAAAAAAAGAATTTTCATGTTAGAAAATAGGCACGTTCTGAACTGATCTGCCCTTGAGAATGATGCTGACAAAGAGAGATGTTAATGGAGATGCAGAGGTGTGAAACAGCAAGTCAATTGAAAACAAATCCAGAAAGCACTAGAGACTTTTGAACTTGTGCAAAACAGGAAGTCATCTGTGAAAAACACTTCCCATTCCCCATATCTATGGCCATTCCCTACTAGACAGAAACACAGTGGCCCACAAGGCTGTCATCTATGCACTCTTGTTCTGGGCATTTAGCAGAGTGGGAAAGGGGAGGTGCTGGAACCCAGAGCCAGAAAATCTTTAGGAAAACTTAGTTAAGCTCTAGCCAGCCCAGCTCAGTGTTTGCCATTCCTCCAGCAGTCAGCAATTCTGGATGAAAGGGTTATTCCCAACTACAGGCTCTCACAAAGAGTTTACTGCCAAGCCACCTCATTTCCACTGGAAGTTGTGGGACATGGACAGTTTGTCACTTCCCCAACTCTATGATGAACTGGTTTGAAGATCCTGGCCAGTAATTGTTGCTAAGGTGTCCCCTGGCAGGAGCAAACATCCTGGAAAGGCACGCAGAGAATTGCATGAGGGAGGGTTCTACAAAGGTTTCTGATGGCCATTTGTGTAATAGAACTACAGGCTTCTGCTGGATCAGAAATACGATCACAAGGTTTCCCTACCCTTCATACTTACTTTATTCTGGGCTTCTCCTCTGTATTTGGAAACATGGAGCAAAACAGGAAGGGAAAAAGAAGGAGAACAGTTAGAACAACAGAGATCATGCCAGCTGCTAAAGTAAAAGGAGGGAAGGGAAATTCAATCTTAGGGGAAACATCCCAAAGAAACTGGTTAAATCACAAACACTTCCAAAAGAAACATACAGGCTCACATACCCCTTCTGCTGGGAGTGAATCTGTTTTTATCCTTAAAACAGAATTTGGCAGAAAAGAATCAAGAGATTGTATAAAAGTTCCAAACGTAGCATCTGGAAGGCAGTGCTTTCATGTAAATGATGAATTATTTTTCTCAAAATGTCCTGACGGACTTCTAAGGAGGACAGCTGGGCATTCAAGTGGAAGAAAACATTGCCTGTTTCAATCAGTCCTTCATTCACTGAAGTTAGCTTGGATTTGTAGTGAAATCACTGATAAAATAGGCTTGGCCAATTTAGATGAAAGGCCTCACATGGAGGCCAGGAGGGAAAAGAAGGCTGACGCCATGTATTTTCTCTGTGCCCATGGACTCCTAAGACAGCTTAAGACACATATCGAGGAGATATCTTGATGCCATGAGGAGGATGCTTCTTTTTCTGTACCGTGTGGTGCCCATCAAACCCAGCTTGGAAAGACCATCCTCTCTTAGTGAGCAAAATTTACATAAGTGGTAATGGAAATGATCTTTGCATCTCCAGAAAAGGTGTAATACCCATAAGGAGGGCTCAGCCATCACAGAGGCTGGCAGTCAGAGGTGTCTCCCTGCAACAAGTTACCTTTTTCTGGCTCTCAGAAATGTGCTGTCTTTAGGAGTTTCTTGCTTAACATTTGTGCTTACGATCAATCCCCCTCCCTGCTATGCCTTTTATACTTCAGTTATTAGCTCAAGTCTAATGCCAATAAGTTCAGCACTGTTATTCTCACAAACAGAAGTGAATTAAACTTACGTATTTATCCTGGCCCAGTCTCACAGAGGCTCAGATCGACTTTCATAACCACATGCTACGTTTGAACTTTCAGGGATGCTGGATTTTGCTGTACAAGACTTTCCCTGTGTTGGTTCAGTGGGAAGAACAGAGGTAAAAAAGCTCACAGCCTATTAAACCTGGTAAAAACAGGCGGCTTTGTAAAGGAAAAATGAAACCTGCCTCCCTCAGGAGTGAATGCCTGGTTATCCATATCAAGATAGAGAAAGATATTATACTACCTAATAGAATATAATGTATGACATTATACTATATAGTATTAATTTCTTCAAGTGCCCGTTTGCATCCACTTTGGGACTGACTGGGGAAACTGAATAGAAATGGAAACAGAGAATTAAAAAAATCAAAAATAATAAGGGAGAAAATAGCAAAAACTGATACTAGAAAATATCTAGTGGAGATACTTGCAAGGATATTGGAAAATCAGAGATGGAGGAAGTGACTGAAAATGAGCAGGTATGATAATTAAGAGAAAATATGTGAGCGATGAACAAAGGAGATCAGAAGCAAAGCTTTCTTTCACATATCAATTTCAGAAATGAAATTTCTGAGGTGGGCACTTTCCTCACTTTCTACGAGAACATTGCCTACTAAAACTTCAGCAGAGGCTTCAAAACGCCAGAGCAGTGCTAATAAAATACACAACATGTGATTAGAACAGATTTAGAGCACCTCTATAAAGGAAACCGCCAATCACTCCTGAAGAAAAATAGGCAAAAATGTACTTCTGTGTTTCTCCAATTATTTTTTTAAATCATTTTGCTTTTCAAATAGCCAGTGAGCTTATTAAAACATAGGTTACACGGTTCTATTTTTGTTCTTCAAACTGGACAGTGGAAGTAGTCACGATTAACCAGTCTAACAGGGATGTTAATTCACACAGGATTCCCTTCCCTCGTGACATAGCCAGGTAATTCTCATAAACATTCCTGTTTAACTTAAGGTGTCAGTTAGTATCACTTCAGAGAGAAAAAAGAGGAGAGGAAACGATGGATTTTGTTTGTTGACCTTGAGTGCCAGGATTGACATCTGTCTGTCAATGACTGGGTGAATTTGGCTTCAGCTTCCACCAAATCAGCATTCTCAATGTAATTAAACCAACAAACAATTGTCAAAAATAAATAAATGTATGAATAAAAGGTTGATTAGTTTTCTTGGAAAAAAAAAAAAAAATGTAGTTAGGATATTTAAAGGTGTCTCCAGAAAACCAGAAAAGGGGAAAATGAAGAAACAGAAGGATTTATTTAAAAATGAGCAGTAATTAAGATGTCCTTTGCAGTGCATGATCCAGCATGCTCCATACTGAATGCACCAAAAGGAGCTCAGAGATGTGATTTCTTTTGAGATACCCCATCTTTCATGAGAGAATCAAGGAACTGGGCCAAAATTTATTGATACACAGGAATTATCGTAGCAAATTCCTGTTCTGGGTGGTGGATTTTGATTGATCTTGTGCTCATTCTGCCCACGCAGCAAAGGGCTGTGACAAAATCCCCATACACATTCCTGCCTAAAGAAGGCAAGAACCACTGGAAATCCAAGTTCACTGACATGGTGATTAGGGGTAGAGTCTCTGAATTTCTGGTTTCCAAAAGAGTTGGTTCAAAGACAACACACACCACAGTAAACACATCCTTGCATTCTCCTGCTCAGTCTGTGAGATATTCCCACCACACTCCTCTTTATGCAAATCCATCTGACTTGCCTTTGCTTCAATCAGAAATCACTAAACACCCTCCTTTGCCCCACTGCTGAGAAACAACATCTCTAACCCATAGCGTGTCCTTGAAAAACAGTATGCTATTAAAAAAATAAGAGGAAAGAAAAAGAAGGAGAGAAAGAAAGAGGAAAAGATCCCATTTTGAAGTGAAAAGTGGTGTGAGAGGCTCTGAAAGGTCCTCAGAGGATATCCCTAAAATTAAAAAATAAAAAATAAAATCCTGAAAAGTGAGCAAGAAAATTAAAACAAACAAAGTGCAAAACAAAAACAAAACAAGAAATCACAGAAAAAGAAAAATCATTCCCAGTGGTGTTGGGCTTTGTCTTTGGAAACACCTGGCCAAACATTCTAGGGGTTGAGGCCATCAGAACAAACTTAGCTACCTCAAAGGTTTTTAAAGTCTATGAGAGTATTCCTATATCTTTAAACTGATTTAGCATTTGGCTCTGGGGGCTGAAGTTACCTGCCCACATACCAGAGCAAAACTGACCCTTCATAGATTTGTTCCTTTCATGATTCTCATTTCTATCTATGTGTTCCAGGGCCTATTTAACCAGATTTTTAAAAATTTACTGTTTTAAGCAGCAAATGAGTTGTTCCATCAGTCTGAATAAGTTTCTTTGTACGTTCAATGCTAAGGACAATTTTAAATGTGTGGTCGGAGCAGAAATTTAAATATCTGCAGATTCCAGCCTGAAGAGCTTGACCTTCAAGGATGGATGAGAGAGGCCTATCCACACAAGGCCAACTTCCACTTTTAATCACGCCAATGGAATTTAAGAGAGACTTGACTAACTATTCGGATTGGAAGGTTATGATAATGAGAGATGTAATACATGAGATATATCTGAAAAAGTAGAACAAGCTTCTAGAGCTTGGATTTCACCACCTGCTACCCTAGTGGGGATGTACAGAGTTCCCAAGAGTGACTGGATATACACAGTGAGTGATTCTTTGCGGCAGAGAGGTTTTGGCCCAGTTCCTGAGTTTAAAATCAGGTGAGAAACAAAAACAAACAAACAAAAAGAGTGAGATGTTAGAAAGATGACTTTGTTGTCCTAAGACAACACTGAGCTACCATCATAGTATCCGCCTTCTTCGTCAGCTGTAGATGGAAGGATAAAAGCAAAAGAAAAGAAGCACAGTAGTCAATCCACAACCAGCACTGTTGTCCTAAAAGCAGCTGTCCCTGTTCCCTCCCCTCTACACTGGGAACCTGGGGCTCTCTGGAGATCAAATGAAAAGAGGAAACAAAGAGAGAAGGGTGTCTAGCTCTTTACAACAGCCGTACGTAAATACAAGGCAATAGTAAGCTGCAGTACATTTGCAAGATGTTTTAGCCAGACACAACTGTGCTTAATATAGTATCTCATCCCTCTAGGAAAATGCCAAATCATGAACCAGTTATGTAAGTACAGATTTGTATTATTCATTTAATGTTCACAACAGGTAAAGGTGTGTCCTGTAATGTACTCCACCCTACACTGCCCAGCACACCTGGAAATAACAAGTTGTAAACTGAACTCAACAAATATCTTTGTTCCCCCTGACAGAAACTTTGTTTTTCTATCTGACACTGAAGTACTGTGCTTCTGGTCTCCAGCATCATCCTGTAAGGAGCTCAAGGGCAGGTGTTATGAGAACAGAAATAAAACATATCCGTCTTCCATAGACTTTCCTGAATGTCTATTATGAAAGCAGCAGCTTTAGTTACGTAGAATAAGGACAAAGCAATAGCTCCAGATTCAGACTCATACCCAAATCCAACAATGTTGGGTCTTCTTGCATCCAAACAGCAGCTAGAAACTTTCATGTGAATGGGAACAAAATATCCAAGTCACTGAACTACCATCTAGGGACTCACTCTTTCACCTCTTTGTCTCTCAGTTCTATCTTTCCAGGACAATAAACTACAGCAGCCATTTGTGGAGAAGACCTGAGCCCTGCTGAACCACATGTTGTGGGTCATTATTTAGTCATGGCTTTATATGTATATACATATTTATATACCCAATGGATGTGCTGACCCACAATCTCCAAAGAACAAAGAGCCTGAGGTCACTGCAGTGAAGCTTAGCCCACAGGATCTACACTGTTGTACCTATTTTGTGGAGCCTTTTTGGTTAGCAAGCATACAACCCTTTTCTCCAAGTTTGTCCAAAGCCATCCAGAGAGGCTGCTTCCCTCCCATGCTACCTGTGCTCTTGAACGAGGTCAGTGTTTTCAACACTGTTTCCCCAGCTCTGAAAAAGAAAAAGGATGAGAGTCTTTAGAGGTATCATCACATACCTTCTTCAGGGGCTTCTTCTGCATCACGGTGTGAGCAGCGATGGAAAGACAGGAAATGGGAAGAAAGAAAAAAGGAAGAAAACAGAACAGATATTTAAAGTTCTTGGAAGCCTGAGAAAGAAACAAGGGAATGTGTGAGGGGAAAAGAGGAAGTGATTAGTGAATTAAGGCAAAGAGAAAAGGTATCTGGAGAGGCTGTTGGGAGTTAAAGATGCTGTAAGGCTAAGGTAGTAGTAAGTAGGGAAAGGAAAAGAAGGCTGCAAGGGATCATTATGGTTAATATTTGTTTCTCTTGCTTTGTTCTCTTCTACCAGACCAGGACTCCTGTTCACACACACTCACACCTGTGTTGCAACTACACAGAGTAAATCAGAAGTCATGTCACATACCTGGCTCATGAACTTCATGTGTGAAGTGTCATGGAACAAGATGCAATGGAAAATAAGAGAATGAGAACGAGAAACCTGTTATTTCACAAAGCAAAAGAGCTTTCAAGCCAGAGGGGCGGAGAAGTAGAGAAGAAAAGGAAATAACATCAAAAAATAAACCTGAGAGAAAATAAGTTAATTACATTTGAAATAGCATGTAAACAGAAGTCACAGGAAAGGAAAGGAATTTGGTCAAGTGAAAATGATTTATGATAACAGTGCAATGCTTTAAACAAAGCACTTATGAGCATTTTATGCATAAAGCACAATCTGATAGCACAGTGTACCAAGGTCTACCTTGGTTTGAAATATGCACATGAACAGAGCACTTTCAAGGCACTATCCGATCCATCCTTTTTTACAGCAGCATTCCAGCCTGTTCAGATTAACACGATGTGTTTGGCAACCTGCTGAAATACCTGCTGTAACTCATCAGCAGCACTCAGCTAACTTTCAGAGAAGCTCGGTTCTCTGTTATGGATCTATGGCCCATGTCATTTCCTTCCTTGAAGACAGTCTGGATGGTTGTGTAAATTTACTGCTCTGCTTCACATCCATTTGCAATGGAGATTTTCAAATTGATTACTTCAGAGGAAGAAAATGTTGATTAAAGTCTGTGCGGGTCTACAACTCATTCCTCTAATTTTAGCAAGGCAAGAATTGATTAGCGGTGCAGATCTGTGGGACAGCTTTTGATTTCCAGCCATACATGCACTACTGAATATTTTGCAAAGCAGGCATAAAAAACAGTGCAAAATCTCTCTGTATTCATGTTTCCTATGTTTAGTCAATGGGTCAAATTCTGCCCTGAGATTTGAAATGAAGCTTTCACTGTAGGATGAAATATTCATTCTCATATCACAGCACAGGATTTAACCCATTCCACAAGGATGCATTCTGCTGATCTACCCTTTCAATATAGCATATGTGTTTTTAATAACATTTCCAAAAAAGAGGAACAAAAAGAACAAAAACAATCCAAAATGCATGCAAGGTGCAAGTTATCATTAACAGCTTGGTTATCATCTCCTGTCACCTTGCATTCAGTTCTTATGCGTGCTGTCCCAGCAGGCAGGCACTGGGGAGTTTAGAAGTTAAATCACATACCTGGAGGGGGGGCTTCATTTAGTAGGAGGTGTCAGAGGAAAAGGATACGAAAGGAAGATAAAAGAATTAGAAGTTATTCAGGAAGGGATCACCTCAAACTTTGGTAAGATCAGGTTGAAAGGGGTATCTTTTGCATACTAGGTTATAGGGAGAGTGTTAATAAGTGTGGAAGAGGAGAGCATTTACAGTGGAGTGTGAAGAACACAGGGAGGGGATGTAATAGAAGTGAAGGATAAAAGGAATTTGAATGTCGATGGATTGCAGCCATGTAATCATGCAACTATAGAAACACTGAACAACTTCAGTATCACCCATGACCCTTAAGTTTAAATAAAACAGTTTCACAAGTGTGCAGTGCGACCTGTTTCAGCTGTATGCATGCCCTTGTGGGAGTGTAAGCATGAGGGGATGAGAGTGACTGCAGGGAAGCCTTGCTCTGTGTGCACCTATCCTTTTCCATCTGAAGCTGCCCTGTCTGAGATCCACCACTGGCAGATTTGGGGCTCAGCTCCACAGAAAAGGAAATATTCAGGTCCACGCAGAGTTTCTCCAAAGCTTTTGGCAAGGTGTCACTGCAGGTACACACAGTTTTATCTGTTTCCTACAGGGATAGTGAATTTTAGGGGATGGATTGATTCTTCATGACTCTGGTTTGCTTCAACATCTTCAAATTCCTATGTGCAGAAATGCCTCAGATTAACACATAGGGATTTGGATATTGCATACACTGTTGGTTAAATAGAAAGCACCACAGTGAAGAAAAGTAAAAGTAACAGAGCAAGACACACAACACAATAGCTCTGATCTCATGCAGGACATAGGCCGCGACAGCAGAGATGTGCGAGACAAAGGCAGCATTAATAGCACAGAATTTAAATACTAACAGAGTAGTGTGAAGAGCTGCCAGAGGCTCTCCCAGTGTTCACATCTCCTTTATAAAACTTCCTCTCTGTTTGTTAGACAGTTCCAAGAGAAAAGACAAGGGAAGGCTGTAGGTAATCATATCTCGTTAATAATTTGTGCAGATTCCAAGCCACTAAGTGTGTTAAAGACCAACACACAGGACTGGGGAAGCTGCTCAATTGGCTTGGGGCTGCAGGGGAAGAAGGTGAAGAGCATGCAGAGCAGCTGGTATGGCAGCAAGGTGCCCCAGCTTGGGTGAGCCACACTCAAAAGATTTAGGTACAGGTGAGAATGAACAAATATAGTTAAAATGAGAAGAGTGGGATGGGAAATGAGATGATACGAGAATAGGAGGGAGCTGGTAAGCAGCACACACATGAATGTTGAAGCGTTCGGTCATGCAAAATCAATCAGACATCCCTCCCAGCCTCAGACTCTGAAGGAAGCTGGGCTGGTATCCCTTGACAGACAGCAAAGGGGAATAGCTGGGATGGGCTGCACTGAGATGTGTCTGGTCTCAGGAAGCTACCAAAAATGGCACGGAATCACTTGCAGACTGTAGAGGATGCTACAAGTTCAATTTCTGCTTTTCCACAGAATAAACCTTGTAACTTTCCTGACAGCAGCCCAAGGAAGTCTCTGATTCCACTCGGTGGCCATCACTGCAGCTGACACTTAAGAATACTGTTTACAGAAATGTTGTTACATTTCTCATGCACCAATTAGCTCATCCTCATAATTATTCATTACAAGGTAGAGGGAAGTATTACTGATGGAAGGTGTAAGGAAGCTGAAGTTGCAGTTTATCGTTAATGTTTGTGCTTTTATCTGGTTCCTTCCACCATCTTCGAATTCCTGAGTATAATATCAGAGTTACTGATAGGCTTTTCTCACTCTTTTTTTTTTTTTTGTGATGTTTCCACTTTGTCCCATTTCAGAGCACAACCCAATTGTGAAATGGCCAATCGCAATTGAATCTCCAGCACTCAATAACCCTTCACATTGACGCAGAGGAATTCAGAAGTCACATACCTGCATGATGGACTTCTTTAAGAGGAAAGTAGCGGGTGAGGAGATGCAAAGAAAGATAAGAGAATTAGAGAACTAAAGAGAGGATCATTAAAAAAGATACAAACAAGTTGCAAGTTTTCTAGCCAGGGTGGAGGGGATTAAAGGGGATTAAGGAGGGGATTAAAAGTCATTAATAAGATTAAAAGAGAAATATGAAGGGAAATGGATGACTATCAGAAAATTGTAGGGATGCAGGAGGGAGGATGTTGGGAGATGAGATGCAGGTGAATGACAGTCATGTTAAAAAAATCAAGTACCATCAGTTGGCACATGGATTAACTTGTATTGAAGTCAAGTCCATTAGGACCCATAGGTTTGAATATGTGAGGAGGGCACAGACAACCCGCCCTTATTCATGTGCATAGAAATCCCAGCCCCTGCAGAAATCAGTGGGCTTGGAGGAGCTGGCACCTATTTCCCCAGCAGCCAGGATTTCACCATCTATGTGGGGCACACCAGTGCAGCACTGTGAGCAGAGCACATTCGTGCTCTCAGACTCATGGGATCAAGTGTGGGCATCCAGAGAGGGGCTGGGAGGGGCGTTTAAAGGTCAGTTGGGCTGGTGGGCAGATGCTCTGGTAGGCATGATGTATTACCATTCTGCTAATCACACACTCTGCCTTGTCAGATCTGACATTTAATACACATTATAAAATCAAGCGCAATAGCAATCTTGCTATCCCCATGTTCTCAAAATACATATTAACCATGAAAATACTAACAGTGGTGGGGGAAAAAAAAAAGCAAGCAACCACATTTTTTTTCTGAATGTGCATTTTTTCTATAAATACATCGCAGCCAAAATTATGCTACAATTTCTGACCCTTAGAAAACCAGGTGTGATGGTGTGTGACATGTGGCACAATCCCTTTCCCAACTGGTGTCCACACACACAGCCTGGTTAAGGAAATCAGAGCATGAGGGTAATAAAAGCAATATCCAGTCCAACCCAGCACAGCATGCAACTGCTGAAGAGACCAATTGTTGCAACAGTAACAGCTAAAAACTGATGCATTCTATTAACAAGCATGCATTACAGGACCTTCTCTGCTCAAGCTGTGGAAGGCATTGCTGTGGACAAAACACTTAGCTCAATATAAAAAACACATGCTCTTCACATCTTGTTCAGCCTCCCTGCCTTCCAGCTAGGAGAGCTATCAGGAGGCTGTCAGCTAGATCAGAACAGCAATTAGTACTTATTATAGCTTGTCCTACACGAGTGAAGCAGCTCCCAGCAATCATGCAGAGGATATTTTCACATCCTCTCCTCTTCAACCACCTCCAGAATTCCTGCACATGTTACTGCTCCAGACATAAACAGGAATTTGCAAACCATGGCACATACCTTCCACATGAGTGTGAGCTTTAGTGGGTGGAAGAGTCACAAAACAAAATGCAAAGAAATACAAGAGCATTAGGAACAACACCCATACAACAACAATGCACCCATACAAAATGAAGGGGAGGGGAAGTCTGAGAATATATTGCATGGAAATAAAATAATGTGGACAAAAC